AAAAACAGGTAACAATGAAGCCTGTAAGTAGCTGTACTGTAGGCTACTCCACTGTGCAAAAGATCACCACGAAATATAATACCATAGCCGCGAGGTATATCTACTATCACTTCTTTTTGGACGTTTGGATATTCGAAACAACCCGTAAAACACGAAGTTTCGTGTCATTCTCCAAAGATACAATGACACTTGCAGGCACCGAACCCGGAAACCTTTCACCACATTGATCTCGTAATTCTGCCGTGTAATCTTGATTGGGCTCTTGAGCTTCTCCACCAGGCCGAGAATGCATGAAGGAAAATACTGTAGGTTGATACTTCTCGTCTCTAATACACGCGTCCTCGTTAATGACTTTTTGGACAAGTTTTAGTGCCGAAATCAGTCGAATAACGCGCGACTGGCTTCGAAATGGGTCCTCCGACCTCTCGAAAAACTGGTGTGTATGTGCATGATCGTGCTTCGCTAAGCAATGCGTCGAAAGTAGACGTATCCAGTTGCAAAGACACTATGGCAAAGCCGGAAGGCGGAAACGAGGGCCGCATGGTGGAGGTAGCCGTAGTTGAAAACTATATTTGCTGTAGCCACGGCAACGCCAAAAATTAGATTTGCCGTTGCCGACGGATCGTCTATTTTTTGCAACAAATATTTTTTTTTGAGGGCCCTCCCAGCTGGACGGCCTCCTTAGTTTCCCTCGTGAAGCTCGTGTAGATGGCCCATCACCAGAGCAGCTGTATCGGGAGTCATACAGCGTGTCTTTTTATAAACCTCCTTGGCGACATGAAACTAGCACACTAGGAATACAAAGTGGTTGACGGGTCCGAAGACTTCATGCACTGAATTCCATTGGGCTGCGTCGGTATCGCCCATCACGTATCGCACACACAATGGCTTCCCAGCCAAAGGCAGGTACACCCGTCTTAGTAGGCCCAGCACTTTAGAGTGATTGTGCTGCTGTTGTTGCGATACAATGCAGATTGCCACGAGTTGAAAGTGCTTCACTCTGTCGGAAATGCCTACTACAACGACTGGATAGCCAACTTGAGTCAGCTTGTAAGTAGCGTCCATGTGAAGGACAAAACCCCGGTAGTCGAAGAAGATTCTTTGAGCTGACACCAACTACGAACAGATCTACGTCACTGTCATTTCCCGTTGTGGGGTTGCCGTCCCTATCAATTCGAGAAGTAAACGAACAGCCATTTCCTCTTCTTGGCCTGTAAAGGTAATACCCCAGACTCGTGCCGAATTGCATCTAGGACGTCGCTTCCGCCGAACCTTCCGGTCACGTGGTGGTGAGTGAAACGTTGCACGATGACCAGGGTTGGTGCGGTTGCAGCAATGATACTGAAGCGCTGAAGAAGTGCGTCCCAGATCCACATTGGCTTTACCCCTTGCGTTGACCAATCCTTGATTACTCCTTCCTTGGAGGAGCCAAAACAGGATGACCCTGCGGACGAGCTGGCGCCAAATGACTGTAGGCTTCTTCGGTCGAGACAAGCCTGCTGAGCTGACAATCCATGAGCCGGGCACTCTGTAGCGACGACTACCACTACACAGGCCTTGCAGCCACAGCGCAGAAGCTGGACGCGCATGGGATGAGGGATAAGATGCATACAGATGTGGCATTACCCTAGCTCGCTTTTCACAATACGATATTTCTTGAAGTTCGCTAACAGAGCGTCTACCTCGGGCTGTGGCATCGCCACAGCAATAAGCTGCCAGGAGTGACGATGGTGGTGGAGAGCCATTTTGTAGAGATGAGGGGCGTGGCGAAGAGGGGGGCTAAAGCTTGAATGGGTGTTTTGCAGAATGAAATAAGGTGGATTCTTGCAGGACATCAGTTTGGCGGTGATTGGTTAAAAAGGGACACTTCTTGTGGCATGGTGCCAATGGTTAAGTGCGGATGGTGGCTAACACTTCTGTGGTACAACTGCTGGTTTTGTGGTGCTAGCAGTACATTATTGGTATTTCTTGTACACTTGTTGGTGCTGCCAGTACACTCTCCTGTTCAGGCCTCATTAATTGAGGGAAATAGATTTATATCCCGCATAGTACATCAATTAAGTTCTCCGATCGCCCCTCGCTAAAACTGGCAAGTTGTTAGGTGTGTTAAATCGCCCAGTGCTGACACATTGCCAATTTGGT